CACACACACACACACACACACACACATCTACTTGATGATGTTATGATTCATCGTTTTTACTACAATTAAGTGTTTATCTAATATAATTGCATTTGCAGCCGTAATAAAATATAAAACAAATTTTTTAAATTTAAATTTTTCTTTAATTTTTATCTATAACTTTTAACAATCATGAATATTAATTAATTAATTAATTAATAAACTAAACCAAACGTTAAAGTTTAACGTTTATTTAACGAGAATTAAAGTAAGTGAAATCACGTACTTGATAAATATTAAAGATTTTATCTGTATTACGCTTTTTGATAAAATAACAGGTTTAATTAAGATGTATGTATTATGTCAAAAAATTCAGAAATTATCTATTCTGCCTTCCAGAAGTAAGCAATTTTTCGAGAGAATACACTGAGAAAAAAATACTATTGATTCAATTAAAGTCTATTTACGGGCTGTTACTAACATAATAATTAATTTATGTACAATATATTTTTATTGACATAAAGACTTTGATTATTGAAATAATAATTTATGTCTTTATGCTCATAATATAGATTTTAATTGAATTAACAACATTTTTTCTCAGTGTATACTTTGCCAAAATGTAATGAGATGATTCAAAAAGCGTTTTAAAATATAAAGTCAATTTTTTGGATTGATAATTTAAATAACGTTCAATTGTTTTTTTTATTACACAGAAGTTACATAGATACAAATGGAGATCTGTTAAAAAATTTTTTCGAATTTTACGAAATACCATGGCGTAAAAATTGTAATAGCAGTTTACAACTTTTAAAAGAGTGAACTTTTACCTTTAATTTACATATTCATTGAGTGTTGTACAATTTTTTTAGTTACTCAATATTGAAGCGTGTTTCTTACTTTGACTGTTCACAAAAGATGAACACAATAGCGCTTAATATTACGAGTAAAAAAAAATGAAGTCTAGAAAAAATTGAAGATAATTATCTAAACTATCGATTTCAAAAGTAGGGAGCTTCAAGCTTTAAAATGGTCTATGAATCATCACATTATGATCATTTTTTACAAAGTTGCATTTTCATAAAAATTCTGTTTTTATAGGGCAGAATAGGTGTCCTTTTAACTTTTTTGGACTAACGTATATGTCAATATATTATCTCTATTATAATTACATTATAATATTGATAGTTTTAACATATATCAATATATTATCTTTATTATAATTACATTATAATATTGATAGTTTTATTGAGTAGTTAAAAAATATATATCAACAAATATATATATAAAGTAAGGCTTGAAAGAATCTATCAGCGGAAAATGTAAAAAAGTCCATCAGAGCCTACATCAGCTGTTTGGATGTACAGAAAATTCTTTATTTTTGTATAAATGTAACAAAACAAATAAAATATACGTTTCGACCCTTCAATTCGAGTTCTTATAGATATAAAATATAAATCGAAATTACATAAATAACACAAATTCCAAGTTGATGATTCCCGACAATTTAGTTTGTTCTTCTTTATCCAAATGCCAATTTAGCTATATAATAGCTCAATGATTATCCAAAATATCAACTTATACAATAATATAAAAACTTACATAAAGTATAACTGAAGTCATATGTATTGCGTCACAAAGTAGAGTCGCATCGTCCATCATATTGCCAGATTTGCTAAGCAGTCATTCAAAAGAAACACAAAAGAATTATTAAACAAAAAAGAATTATTAAAATTATTTGTCTGAATTTTTATTATATCCACTTACATGGAAGTGTTTTCTCGCGACTCGACGTAAGGTCTTGCGGTATCGACAATTAGAGACACAATGAGAATTAAAATAACAAAGTCATGTAGTTATTGAAATGAAAATAAAAATAAAAACAAAAGAGGGTAAGAACAACGTCACAATTCCGTAAACAAATTCATATATAGTGGATCTAAAGAATACGTATTATTCTGTAAATTAAAACTCTGTTTCTGTTTCTTTATATGAATCGCTTCCGAAATCGGTCTTTTCTTAAGTACCTTTTCTTCGTCTAATAAATTGTCGGGAATCATCAACTTAGAATTTGCATTATTTATGTAATTTCGATTTATATTTTATTATATATTGATAAGACGAATTGAAGAGTCGAAACGTATATTTTATTTTATTTATTTATTTTTTTTAAAAAAAAAAAATATATATATATAATTTCGTGTTAATAAATTATCTAAAAAGCTTCATAAAAAGTGATAATATATCAGATATCTGTTTACAATCTGTGTGTATGATTCTCCATATCTTGTATTTTCTCATTGTACATTTGATAACGTGGTGGTTAACTTTAAATTAATAAAATTCACAGCACTCGGAATCTCGTACTTTTCACGTGCAAACGAACGTCTTTCCGACACAAAAAACAAATACAATTACTCGTAACATAAACGCAGTTTTCGCAGCTGCAGGGATGTTCCGTTACGCGATTACCAATTGCGCGTTATAAATCATATCTTAACCCGCTTATCTTTGCGTTCTATTTTTATCAGTTCCTGACTGTATATTACTCGACTATATATTACTCGAGATAGAAAGAAAAGTACAATTTTCCACACGTGTATGCGAAAGATATTTTATTACAGCAGATGACAATGAAGAAATGTGCACGATAAATTGAAAAATAATACAATAATGTATGTAGTTATTTATTAGACAAATGGATTTCAAATATATCTTGTTAATTATTGTTTCCAAAAAAGATTATTAATTTATAAAGTGCGCACGTCGATTAAAATAATTTTAATTTAATTATTACGTTTCGTTAAATAATGTTATTTCTCTTTTTACTATACTATTATCAATATTATTTACTCCTTTTTTGGTTCTACAAAACATATCTCTTGTGTTTCATATCCAGCTTTAAAACGCTCTTATCGTTATAAAACAATCATGATAAAAACGAGAATTAGATGCACAATGAACACCTCGAGACTAAATTTCGAATTTTTTTATCCTTTCTCCTTATCTACGTTTTTAAATTTGCATGTAATAAACAAGTGTCATCTATAATGCATTTTACTTGTAGTAGTAAATGTCATTCGACTTGGATACGCATTCGACGGCTGTCTATCCAACATCTATGCGTTATCATTGTGGCGTGTCATGTGCTGCATTATCACGGTTTAATTCGGGCACATGGAACACATGTATGAACGTATCGATACCCCCTGTAAACTGTGTCAGTTATCGGCAAAATTGGTAAAATCATTTTTCGACTTGCAGGTTTGTATGCACGTTCAGCGATAGTGGACAAGCGAGCACGTTCATTTCCAGAAGGTGAAGTTTCATCGGCAGACAACTATTTGTCGCGCCACACGTTCGTATCGTATGGAACTTGTTACACATATTGATCCACGTTGACCCGCGAATACTTTTCTTAACGCCATTTCGGAATCACCTCCGCGCTGTATACTTTACATGCAGACTTGGAGAAATGATATATACTGCACTGACATAATCGATAAGCTTTGAAACACGCGATCTGTTATAGGAAATCTACAAGCCAAGACATCGTCAATATATACTCACGTAAAACTACGTTATTACAATTTCTCGAATAAGTATACCCCAATGAATAAACCGCTTTCCCCTGTCAAATATAGAAGTACGAAGTCATACATAACTTCACGTACTGTTTGCTGCAGCAAGCGCGGTCCTATGAACGACGACGTCAGTCTTAGTGGCGTATTACTGAGTCGAGTGGATCTTGTTAGTAACAGAACCGAGTACATGGTTCCCTGATATCTTCTTCGAAGCACGATTAATCCAGTCCCTCTCTCCCTTTCTCTCTCCCTCTCTCTTTCTTTTAATTAATTTTCAAAAAATTCAGAAGTCGCTTGGAAAACCTGCGCTCGAAAATTTACGATTGTCTAAGAACTATTTATTATTATGAAAAGCGATCACCCAAGTCGCACGCAAAAAGGTTTATCTGGCGTAACAAAATATACAGGAGAAAAAGAAAAGATGTCAGAGTGTTCGATTGCGTGTTGTGGATATCTGCCAGCGAGGAAAAAAACAGCAATGTAAGGTCGAGTAGTAGATCTGACTTGTTTACCGATTTTTTAATTCCGGGTCGAATAGAAGCAGAGAAAAAAGGGAAACAAAAAGAGATGGATTTGCGGCGCGAGAGAAGAGAGATGGGACTGATTTTGTACCTCGTTATCGAGGTACAGCGGCCACAGCGATGGTCAACGACACACTGCTTCTTTCTCCACGAAATCACTTTGAAAGACGTCGTTATCGCGGCCAGATTAGAAACGCGTCAAGTGAACGAAGCGTGCCAGGGAAAAAGTCAGAGGGAGCAATCTCTTCCGCCGGGGAAATCTATCTAGACGACGACGTACCGTACGTCACGTTCGACTTTACGTTCCATCGTTTTTCTGAACATTTTTCAACCGTGATTTCGGAATTACGCACAAATTCGAATTTGTATGGACATAATTGCCTTTGTACGATCTGCATTTGGCGAACTTCGACCCCGAAGATTGCGATTCGAGCAAACAGTGTGGCTGATAATTTACCCATTCTTTTTCTGTTGATCTGTATTCGATAAACCTGATCGAATGTCGCATAACGAAGCAACATTTCCATGACGCACATTACACAAAGTACACAATTCAATGTTTACACGTATGCTTCCTACTCTATCGTCATTCTGCTAATTGCCAATAATAAATGATATGCTGCTGATCATCACGTGGAATCTAAAATGATCTAAAGTGGTACTCGCATATA